CCCCAAAACCCCAAAACCCCAAAACCCCATGCTGAGGATTCAACGAACACATAAGGGAAATCTTTTAAATTAAAATAAGTTAAATTTAAAATTTGAAATATAAAATGAACTAAAATATTGTGAGGAAAGAAATGTCTCCTTTTAAGAATGACACTCAGAGATTTTGTGGTACGAAAAAGAGAGATCTTGTTTTGCCAGAGAAAATGAAAATACAGGATTTTAATCCTAATGCTATTGAAGAGGATCTGCAGGAAATAAAAACTAAATTTCTTCCTAGAAGACCATCAAATTTGATGAGAGAGCCTGGAGTGAAATACAACTTTAATTATGAGTTGGAAGAATGCCTTAGAGTTTTAAACAAAACAATTCGGAAAGTAACGTTCATTCAATATGTTTAAGGGCTTCGAGAAATATACATTTTATACTAGTTTTTTTCATGGTTTGTATATTTAGGTCTTGGCCTTGACTGCAGCATTAATTTCACTACTCAAATTTTGTTTGCATTATACATTTTCTTTAGCTTCTGTCTTTATTCTGATGCACTTGGAGCTAAGAGTTTGGTCATTCTTTACAGGGATATTAGAGAAAATCTTTCAATTTTGTATAGTCTTTTATTCAGACTAGTAGTTTACTACTTGATTCTGTACATCAATATTTATCGAAATCCTGATGAGTTTGGTTTAAAATATGCTTTACTTGTAATTGCATTAATAGATGCTGCTGATGATGGAAGATTGAGAAAATTTTAAGCTGCAACTTATGAGTAAGAGTTTTCATAAATAAATGTAATTCCAAATATTCTATGGTTTATTTGGCATTCTAACTTTATCTACTAAGCAATCAAGTATGTGCTAATAATGATGCCTATTATTTTACAGAGTAGAGATATTATTCAGGCTGCTAAAGATATTTTCAGCATATTATTCATTAAAGTATCTCTTGATACTCTTTGGAATTATGCAAAATACTCAACAATTGAGAGAATTATTATAAGTTTCCAGAGTGATATTCATGACTAGGCTTTTTGTTCTATACTCTTTAATAAAAATAAAAGACTCAGCCTTACAGTCCTTAAATACTTAAGCTACACTTGTGAGAATTAAGATACTGAAGAATTCGCTTGGTTGATATCTAATTACTAGATTCTGAATTCTGTATTTGATAACTTCGAAAAGGAACTAAATGGAAGTATATCAACATTAAAAGCTATCGAATAATCTCTAGAAGAGCGAAGAATAGATTACCTTAGAAAATTTGAGCCTGAAAAGTACAAAATTTACCTAAAGTAAAAGGGAGATAGTGATATAAAGGTTCCAAACTGGGATAACAAGGTAGGCTTCGATCTTCTTAATAATTTTATCCACTTGATGACTTACAAAGCTGATTGCATTAAGGATTATGATGCAATTCTCTTTATGACTTAAAAGATCGTCATAATAGCAAGAGTTCTAAGAGAAATAAATTCTTATATGAGAAGCTAAAATGAGGATCTCTATTTATTTTCAACAGATGATTTCAAAATTCAATAGATTGACAATTAGATACCAAAACTTATCTACCTTTACTAAAATTTAACTCAAACAGCCATAAAGGCAGCAAGGTAACTCTCTGAAAGCATGTATATTCATGAGCATAGTTATAAAGAGTTTGATGGATGCATGCAAGAGCTAAATTATACTATTTAAATGATATACAGAGCAGGTTGTTAAGTAAGAGTTAGTAAAAATTATGATTGGGTAAGAAATATTCCATAAAAAGGGAAATCTACTATTCTAAGCTACTTTGATCAAAGAATAAAGTGAGAGGAAAAAAATTTGCATTAATTTTCATTAACTCTATAGTATTTTGAGTAAATTTTAATTATTTATAAGTTACTAAATTTAAGGAGACTAGGGGTTTTGGGGTTTTGGGG